GATTGTTGAAATATGGTAACCCTATTAGAGACTGAACTCTGGGTCTCCAGCTACTTTCTGTGGGAGTTGGGGGTTTTGTAGGCACTGGAGAAGGGTAATGAAGTGAACTCTAGCCCACCCAAAGGTTACAAATTGCTCACCCTCAGGGAGTGTGACCCCAGCAACAGGGAACCTATGGGAGCAGACCCAAAACTACACACCCAATTCCAGAAGCTTCTGGATTTGGAGTGCTTAATCTGCCTAGCAACAATGATGCTTGGGGGAAATGTTTTCTATATGTAAATAAAGGAAATGCTCCTGACTGGAAAAAAAATAATAATGACCCAGACACAGCTCACTCCTACCTCCCCCCAGTGGGTCTCTTAAAGAGATATCTCCCTATTAGGCACATGGGTTACAAACGCAAGGTTTCAGAGCGCACTTACAAACCAAGTGAGTGTCGCTGCTGTGCCGCAGTCCACAGCATCCCTAACCCCTGTGCTGGGCGTGAGCGAAACAGCCCCTAGGCTGGGGACCTGGTCTGGCACGTTTCTTAGCTCAGCTGAGTGACTTGCTTTTTTTAAACGCACAGGTTTCAGAGCTGTTTGCTCCGGGGGGATACTGGCTCAGGGCACACAGGCACACACACTTAGGGAGCAGCTCTGCTGCCATAATGACTCTCAAGTGCATGCTCCGCGGGTCCGTGAGGCACACAGCTACTCCAGTTTGCATTCGCACAGCTAGGTACCCATGTGCACTGCTACCCAGTGGGAAAATCAGCCCCTTCTGTTTCAGGCCCAGCATGCCTCTGCCAGTTCAGGAGTGTTTCATTTAGGTGCACAGGAATTACACCAGGTCAGAACCATAGACTCGTAGGCCTGGAAGGGACCTCGAGAGGTCGTCTAGTCCAGTCCCCTGCACTCCTGGCAGGACTGAGTATTATCTAGACCATCCCTGACAGTGTTTGTCTAACCTGCTCTTAAAAAATCTCCAATGATGGAGATTCCCCAACCTCCCCAGGCAATTTTCTGTCAGGGTGGTTAAGCACTGGAATAATGTCCAACCTAAACCGCCTTTGCTGCAATTTAAGCCCATAGCTTCTTGTCCTGCGCTCATGTAGGGAGCCGACCGAGCAGCAGCTCACAGGTGGTGCTCGCACGCCCTGGACACACCTGCGTCGGGAAGAGCTCAGGCCCCAGGGCGCTCCCCACACTTACTCTCCAGAGCGGCCGTGCAGCCCTGCTCCCTGAGCTGTTCTTCGTGAACGGAAATGGCGCGCCTGGTGGCCACGTTTTTCAAACGAGGCTTGGGTTTCAGGCAGTTGTCTGAAAAGAAGAGGAGACACCGTCACAGAGAAGCAGCTGCCTCTAGTGGAGCTTGCTAGGTCACTCTGCTGCTTCCAGTCCCCCCTCCGGGGGATTCAGCGCCTGCCTAACATGGCAGCCTGGCTTTCCTTTTGCTGTGCCACAAACATTAACCCCTCTGAGCCCGCTCCAGCTGCATGAACAAGCTGCCCCTGTGCATGGGTGGGAGCAACTAGGGAACCCGCCCACTCCAATGCGTGCAAAGCAGAACTGAATCCAGCTGGCACGGCTGCTGCTGAGGCCTTTCTGGGACCGATGCAAAGGGAGAAACAGCCAGGACACGGCCCCGAGCCAGCCAGTCCCCATGCACCCACTGCGAACGGGTTTGGACTGCCCCTGCTGGCAACACGTGACTCTAGTCTACTCCCCGTACAGCCAGGGACCGAGCCCAGCCCTGCTGCCTGTAGGGCCCAGCAGCTGCTCTACACACACGACTGGCACCCAGTAAATCAGGTTTCAGGTTCATTTACCTAACTTCACTTAACAGGAGTAGAAGTGGCCACACAGGGGCCTGCCCTATATCCAGCGTTACTGCAACCAGTGCCAGCACCGTGCGTGGACAGGGCCCACAGGAAGGGGTTGCTGCTTTTTACGCCCGCCCAGCCCCAGCAGAGGGAGCTAGAGTCTATCGGGACTTGTGCAGCTCCAGAATTGTTTGCCGGGGGCCAGTCCGTTAGCCCTTTGCAGAGACACTGCTGGCCTGGGTATCACTAGGGACCTGGACTCTCTGCTCCCAGGCTGCGGCTGATGGGCCAGCAGTCACCAAACCCAGCATTCTCCTTATTAACTGAGCACCCGATGCCGCACCAAACCCAGCAGCCCAGAGCAGCACTGAACTCCCGTGTTTCTATGCTGACGCTGAGGCAAGATGCACCGGCTGGTGAAGCGTTTCTGGCTCAGGAGGCCAGAGTAGCACACTTTGGGGCCTGGTCTGCGCTTAAAATATAGGTCATGAGAGCCACCTGGCTCAGGGCTGAGAACAATCTGCATGGGTGAGCGACACAGCTCTGCTGCCCTACTCCTAGGAGAGAGACAGCGGGGTTGATGAGCGACTGCTTCTGTCAACCTCACTACCATTGCTCGAGCTGTCTCTGCACTGGGGGGTTACTGCTACAGGCCCCAGAGCACAGCAGCCTGGAGGCACTGCGTGGCACTGTTAGAATGGCGGGGGGGGCAGTGGGGGAGTTAGGGGCAGGAGCAGGGTGCAACCTTGTCCCTTTTTAGTTACGGGGCTCTGTCCTTGGCCGACCCGAGGCCTGGCACAAATGAGAGAACCAGACACAGCCCAGGGGACGGGGGTGCAGGGAAAGAGGAGTACTCAAGCCCACAGGCCATCCTGCCTCTTGGCAGGTCGATGGGAGAAGAGAACCGTGACCAGGAAGAATCTGGATCCAATTTGGTGGTGGAGCAACTCCCACGGACACGCCGAGGGAAGAATTTACAGGGGCCGTTATTGCTGGAAAGTCATTTGCCTGCTCAGCTGGAACAAGAACAGTGATTGTTACCTGCCTGCGGGAAGCACTGGCTGAAAGCAGAGCAGGACGGGCCACAGACCCACTGTGGGGCCCAGTCACAAGTCAGCCAGGGACCAGCTGGAATGCCGGGCTGAGACAGGAACTCCCAGCACAGGCACCTCCCTCCTCACCAAACGCACCCAGCACTCACACGCCTTTGTGCGTAGGCTTCCCCTCTGCTGGTGCAGACATGCTCCGCCCCTCTGTCAGCCACCCTGTGCCTCCCCCACACTGCATGTCCCAGCCCTGTGTCCGCCCCTCCCCGCTGGCTACTGGACACAGCTGGGTGTCCATGCGCCGACATCTCGGGTTGTGTTTACCGAGTGAGCGGGAGTGGAGCCAGAGGGAGCAGAGCTCTCCTGAGCTGGGCCTGCGGCAGGGCACCACCAGGGAGCCCTCAGCTCTGTGCCGCGGCCAGGATCTAGAACCCCAAGAGCTAGAACTCAGACACTAGAACCACGTACTTTTTAATTCACCCCACAGCTGTCCAAGGGCTTGCTCGGTCCCACACTGCCTCGGGCTCTGCTTAGGGCAGGCAGGACACAGGAAAATCCCAGGATGGCGCTACCTGCTCTGGCACCCCAGCCAGTTCCTACTCCCTGAACTTCTAGACTCGGGCCCTCAACGCAGGCAGAATTCCATTCTTCACTGAGCCCCCCGGACGTCTCTGCTTCACCGCCCCCAGGCCCCGTACCTGCAGCGATTGCATCGACGCTGCCCCTGCTAGCGCCTGCGTTGCTGATTCTCCTTGGGGCAGGGGCAGGCGTGACCCTCCCGGTCCTGGGCAAGCTGCTGCTCCAGCTCTCTCGGACCTGCTGCTCCGGGGGGCTGCTCTGCTCTTGAAGGACAAAGGAGCGCCTGGGGGAAGAATGGAGTTCAGAACACTTGCCCTTGAGCTCGGCATTCAGCTGCTTCCCCAGGGCCTTCCAGGAGAGCCGCACGTCGCTGGGCCCGCGGCTGGGCTCGGCCGCAGCTCGGCCCGCTGTGTCGGCAGGGCCGCTTCGCGCAGACGGGTCTGAATGGGAAAGCAAGGGAGAGATGTAAGTTGGCCCCACTCCTGGCTCAGTGGGTCAGCAGAGGGAGGCAGGCTCTGCTTTCCTTGCCCTGGCTGTAGTACAGGCTGTTGTCCCAGTAATACCAGCCTCACATCTTCAAAGCACTACCCCTCGCGACCCGTCGGAGGAATACACTCCTCCAGGAGGAGCCTGGGGGCGTGCCAGCTCCAGCCAGCCTGTACGAACCAGTGCGGGATTCTTCCTGAGGGGCTGCAGCTGTCTCGAGCCCGTGGAAAGCACAGCTCCCTTTCTAGCACCCAGTCACCATTGAAAGTCACTATAGCCCCTGCTCTGCCCAGTGTGACAGCAGCGCACGCTCCACACACGGGCTGCGCTTGCCAAGAGAAGGGCCCAGTCCTGCCCGCACACCCCCACTGCCCTCACTGGCGTCTCACGGGCCTGTTTTACACAGGACCTGTTCTTTAACTTCTCTTTCCTGGGAAGAGAGATTTCAATATTGTGGCCTCTAGTGCTAGTGACAGGTGAAATGGCCTTCCTGGGTTTCATCCACCATCAATACAGCCACGTTGGTCTGTGAGGGGGATACGGAAGCAGAGAAGGCATCCCCACGGGGCAGACACCAACCCCCAGCCACAAGCTAAGTGCTCTGGCCTAGGGGCAATCAGCCGAGTGCCCCCAACAAATGTGGCTGGGCATGTCCTGTAGGGCTGGGCTGCGGTCCTCACACAACCCCACGGTGCATGGCTGGGAGGAGCAATGGGGGGACCCTATTTTCCAAAGGGTGGCTTTAGCCTCTCGTCCCCCAGCATGTGGGAGCTGGGGGTACAGCCCCAGATAGCTGTGTGTGACAGGAGCAAGCCTGGGCTTCCAGCCTGTCCTGGCAGAGCGGGTCACGTTGTCACCTGTCTGCGCCCGGCAGGGCAGGCTCCCCCCCCACCCCCCGTCTGGTGCTCCCAGTGGGACGGCTGGCACTGAGCGTGCTGCCCCTGCTCGGCCCACACAGCCCTCCCCTGGAGGTCCCCGGGCCTGTGCCCATGGCCGCTCCCACCCACCGCCAGAAGGCGCCCGCGAGGAGAGACCTACCTGTGGACATGGAGTGTGTGCGAGATTTCAAGACGAGGGGAGGGGAGCCCGCCGAGCTGTCCATGATGTCTCCTGGAAACACAAACATCCGCATTCAGGGAGCAGCACTGAAAGCTCAGCTCCCTCCTGCCCCTCCCCGGGATCCCCCACACACACGCACTTGTGGGGTTGAGCCCAAGGAAGGATCTGTGAAGCCGCTGGGCTGAAAGCAACTGACGGCCCTGCTCTGACAGGGCCTCTAGAAATGGGCTCTGTACTTAATGGCCACCAGGGCCCCGTAGCCAGCGGGCTCTGTGTATAGGTAAGACATGAGGGTCCCTTTGCTGCCAGCCCTGCAGGCTCCCCGGGGATGTGAGTAGGGTTGCCAACCCTCCAGGTTTGGCCAGGAGTCTCCCGGAATCGGCATCGATCTCCCGGTGCCTATTGAAAGCAACCCAGGAGATTTTAATGGGATATTTTAAGAAAATGACATTGTCATGTTGGGGGAAAAAAATCTCCCAGAATAGCTTCAGTCAGAGTTGGCAACCCTAGATGTGAGCCAAGCCAGGCTCTTGCCTCTCACACATTGGTCCCAGTACTAAAGATCCTGCAGCGCCCCCTACTCCTCGTCCACACAACCCCCCCGCACCTCCCCTCTGGTTGTCAGTGGATTTGCAAGGAGGTAACTGCAGGGTAGCAAATAATTCTATTCTTGCTCCATGAAAGGAAATCACCTCCAGCGCCCCCTCCCGTGGCTGGGCTGACACAAGTAATCTTAGCACTTGGCTATATGAGAAGTTGGGATGCAGCAAGCTCTGGAATCACTAGACAGCCACTAGCTACTCCCCACTACAGTGAGCTGACCCCCCCCATCCCTCGCGGACACACCCTAGCTTGCTGCTCACTAACGTCCCTTGTAAACAAGCCCTTAGAGCAGGGGTTCTCAAACTGGGGGTTGGGGCCCCTCGGGGTCATGAGGTTATTACATGGGGGGGTCGCGAGCTGTCAACCTCCACCCCAAACCCCGCTTTGCCTCCAGCATTTATAATAGTGTTAAATATATAAAAAGTGTTTTTAAATTATAAGGGGGGATCGCACTCAGAGGCTTGCTTTGGGAAAGGGGTCACCAGTACAAAAGTTTGAGTCACTGCCTTAGACACAGCAGCTGGGACTGGGACCTGGGGGAGCAGATCTGGGCTGTAAGGAAGAGCTTTGAGAGTTTTCAAACACAGGCACTGCCAAAAGCAGAACTGCACCTTAAACCCTCCATGGACTGCAAACCTCTCCCTTCCAACCTTGCCCTATGTCTTAGCAAGAGCCAAGGGGCTGGCCCCCAATAACCCAGCTCCACAGCCACGCTGCCGCTAGGAGCGCTCAGGTGCCAGATCCCCTGGAGAGTCAGCCCAGGAGCCTGAGTGCAGAGGGGATAACTGAGGAATGGGTTTACCTAGCTGCAGGGAAACATTGACCTTAAATACTGTGGTGGGGGGGGAAACGTGGGACCTGGTTTTCAGAAGCACTGAGCAGCCCCGTGCTCGCTGGCTTTGGTTGGAACTGTGCGCTCAGGGGTGTGATGTGTGATCAGGCACCGGACCCACTACGGGGAGCGTGGAGCTGGCCCCCCGCTAGTGCCTCACAGCTCGGCTGAGGCCTGCACTGGGCCTTTACACGGGCATTATACTACACAGTGCCTTTAAACCACTCCAGTTACATAGGCTAACCGCCCCCACGGGGGGACAGGCTGGTGTAAGGGGCCTTTTTGTTGGTTTAGTTTATGTCACTTGGAAGAGCCACACCAAACCCAAGCCTTCCGCTGGTGTAAGTGTGTCCACACGGGCCAGTCGACTGGTGCAGCGACAGCACAGCTCCATGTGACGACGTGGTCACACCTGGCTGCACGCTCTCCTAGCAGGTAGTTCAGACTCCTGCCATCAGGCCTTGGTGCAGAGCCAGGGATTTCCCCCCGCCCGGCTGGCACGGCTGGAGTGCAGCGTATGACCCCTCCCGCCTCTGGCGGACGGGCTACTTTTCAATTTGCCTGCGTATTTTTATGTGGGATCTTGCCTCCTCCTGCACCAGGGGAGTTACCAGCTGCTCAGTTTGGGAATGTTGAGCTAGCAGGTGTGTGCTTCTTCCCCTGGGAATGCCATAGGGACTGGCACATTGGGATTGCTCCCCACGGACCCCAAGGCTGGGCACAAAGTTACAGACATGGCTGGGCACGGCTCTTCTCTGGCACTTTTCAGCATTTGCTTTCAAAGCGTGTTTACACAGGAGCTCAGTATCATTAGCTCCAGTTTGAAGTTGGGGAACTGAGGCTCGGGGGGGTGAACTGACTGCTCCTGTTGCTGGGCAAGTCAAGAGGAGTTCTGCCCCTGGCTTTAGGGGAGCAGGCTCTGGCCCTTAGCTGGCAGCAGGCCTGCAGGATCTCACGCCCTTTCCAGCTGTTTGTAAATTCTGAGCCCCAGGACACAATTCGCCAGAGAGCTGGTCACTTTTCTATCTGACTGGTTCGAGGTGGAAAATGCCTTTTTGACCAACACAAAAGCGTTTGGAATCATTAAAAAAAAAAAGTAAAAAAAAAAGGGAGTTTTGAATCCAAATTTGTGTTGCCTGGGCCCAGAGTCTGCCACGCTGGCTCTGGCCAGTACTGGAGATGTCAGGACGTGGAACCCCTCCCCCGGAATGCCCCCAGCCTCTTGCAGAGAAGGGGGAATTCCTGTCTCCAGCGAGGAGTAAGCCTAGACCTCTACAGGAATTGCCAGACCCCTGAGGATTGGTAGAGGAATCACCTATGGACCCAGCCTGCTTCTGTGCTGGGATTGGAGAGCACAGCGTCCCGGCAAAGCTGGCAGGAGTAGCTCTTACAGAAGGGATCTCCCCCATTTCATCTCTGCTGCTCCGCTGTGCAGTTCCCCAGGGCGCTAGCGTCGGCAGCCACTGCTGTTTGAAGCACCATGTTGTCTTAGAGGAGGGCTACCCACCGCGGGGGTTACCACACCAGTGCCTATCCTAGCATTCCCGCTGCTGCTGCCGCCACCGCCCCCTCTAGCGTAGCAGTGACTGGAGGAAGGGAGGCAACTTTAGGGACAACATCCCAGTGCAGACCAGGTCAGTGGGACATTCAGGAATGAATGATGGGGCTGGCCCTAGGATATTCAACTGGCCAAGACCTTGCAGGGAAAAGGGCTTGCAATTCCGGGCAAGACAAATAACGGCAGCTCTTCCCCAGGGTGGGAAATGCTGCTTGCATATGTTTTTAATGGGTGGTTTTTGTGGCGTGCCTAGCATCAATCTGCACCAAGCCCTGCCAGAGACCTTCTGGGCCCTGACACCTGCTCTGAGCTCCTCCAGCCTGGCCTGAGACCCAGCTGCCCTGATAAAGACTGGCAAGAGATAGGATGCATCCAATGTCACTTACCATCTGAACCAGCTTTTTTGATCTCTCCTTCTTTACTCTGCAAAACAAACGGAAAGAAAACCCCATCACGGGCAGAACCTCCTGCTAAAACCTCCCCTCCCGTACGAGGGCGCCTGGAACTGCTGATGCTGCTAACGGGAGGCTGAATTACAGGGAGGAAATGAAGACAGGGACAGCTGAGGCTGAACGGGAAGGAAATCCCCCATGACTGTAGCAGAGACTTCCTGGACACAACACCGGTTGGGACATTTCCAACTAAACTGGCCAAAGCATCAGCAAACCCGCCCTAGGAAACCATCCTGCCTGAGCCTGGGGATGCAACCCGGACGGGACCTGGGGGAACGTTCCCCAGCAGCTCATTTCCATGATCTTCACCTGAAATGTTGCAGGGACGGAAGAAGCCAAACCCTCCACCCAGCCACGGCCTCCCCCGACTCCACTCAGTCTGGGTGTAAGCATCTGGCCCAGCGGCCGAGGCGACTTTCCAGGGAGCCCTGCCGGGGAGCTAGCTACTGTTGTGGCCATTGGCTGTCTCACGCTTGCCCAGCAGGCTTCCCGGGATTCCCTGCTGGGAAGGGCCAGGCTCTGTGAAGAGCTTCCTCTCCGAGCCCCAACACGGCTAGGGAAGTCAGGAACATGGCCACACCCCCTGACGGCAGCGGGCCGGGCTGGCAGTGCCGGGAGAGCTCACCCACTCTCCAGCAGAGTTCTGGGCACAGGGCACATGGCGAGAATTTGCCATTGATTAAGGCTGATGACAATCATCTCTCCTGCCACCCAGACTCCACTCTCCTTGAATACCCGTATATCTAGTGTCCCTCACAGAGTCACAGCGACCCTCGGGAAACCTGGTTCTCCTGGGACAGAGGCTTGGGATCTAGACCAAACGGAAGGCCAGGCCGTTTCAGTAGCGGGGGGGAGGGGAATTCTGACCTTCAACCAGCCCCACTGCCAGGGCCCTCGTGTGCAGTAGGGGATTCCGTAACTTCCTCTCAGCACTGGCAGCTATGGACTGGAGCTCTAACATAACTGACCGTTACAAAGCTAGCCTCTTCCAGCGAGGGACCAGGGCAAAGATCTCATACGCGCTTCCAAGGGCTGCTGCTGGGTGAGCAGCCCTGCTCCCAGTGCTGCCTGGGGGACAGGAGGAGAAGGGGTCTGAAGGTACAGACCTGGCTCAGAGCTAGCAGGGCGGGTTGTGGCCTGGGGCCAGCGCACGAATGTATGAGCACCCAGAGGGTAAATGAGCCATGGCTGGAACAGCAGCTCCCTGTCCTAGAGGCTGGCAGCTGTAAATGAAATAAAGCAACTGACGGGAGCAGGCTGCCTGGGCAGCTCTCACAGCAAGGGTGCCTCGGGGAACGTGCATTTGTTACAGGGCAACACGCCCTGAGCACCCATCGGAGGCCGGCCCGTGAGAGGTGCTGAGCGCCCCCAGTGGTGGAAGGGAGTGCGGCGGAGCTGGTACAACTGGGCTATTCAGGAGAGTTGGCTGCATCACCTGGCGAGTGCTTACTCGAAAGTGACGTCAGAGAGGCGTGGAGAAGAGCACCGGAGGAGGATGGTGCTCAGCGCAAGGCACTGAGACGGGGCAAGTGCTACCATCAGTGACACCTGTGGACAACACTACACTGGGATAGGGCCGAAATAGTGCGGAGGGATTGAGAGGGGTTAGAAACACAAGTAGGAAATAGAGGCCAGTCTGGGCCAGTGCAGTCCAACCCCCGGTGGGGGGACAGGCTGATGCACTGGCAGTGACTGTGGACAGAGGCAGATTTCCAATGTGCTCAGGGTAACATCAAAACCCAGTGCAGGGGCATCGCCGCCCGGGAGCAGGGAGGCGACAGTCTGAAAATACGGGACACCGGTGAGGCTGCTCTGAGAATACTGGCCTCAGTCGCACCACCAGGCAATCCCAAAGAGCTAAGTAGAAAAGGGGAGTGAGGGAGGAGGCAAGGTGAAGGATCAACTATCACTGTAAAGTCACTGACCAGAGCTGTGAGTGGGAGGGCACGAGAGGCATTTCTACAGCGGGGACCCACTCATGTCAACGGGATTCTTTCCGCCGGCTCTGAATCAGGCCCCACGACAGTAGAGGAGTTCGTGGGCTGGCTAAGGGGGCACTGCAGAGAGCGAAGGCATGAGATGGAGCAAAGGAAAAACAAACTGCGAAATGGTCTCTACGGGGAGAGGTGGAAATTCCATTGCTTGAGTCATCTAGAACTGGGCAGCGCAAAGCCCAGGAGAATGGACCGCAGGGAACAATTCTGCCCTGGGTGCTGGCATGGACTAGCCTTTCCCAGCGTTGGCTGCTAGGGTGTGTTCTCGTGCGACCATCCACTATATGGGCACTGGCCCTGCGGCAGCCCATGCTATATAATGAGGCCTTCAGACCCAGGGGCAATACCAATGCTCCCAAAGAGGGAATTCCCTAGCGAAAACGCAGGGGCAGCTCTTGGGGAGGTACAGGTAACTCTACAGAAAGGCAGCTGATTTCCACCAAAGCGCCTGCTTCCTGCTGATGCGCTTATGGGAATCAAGCATCCGGAAAGATCAGCCTTCGGGAACATTCAAGCAACCGACGCCAGGGCCTGCCTCCCCCTGGGCACACAGCAAAGGAGGGAAGAGTAGCCCCTGCTGCTCCCTGCCCCTCCAGCTCTGCAGCAGATCATCAGCTCATGAGAAGTCAGGGTTGCCCAACCTCTCCCCAGCCACAGGCCATGCTGCCAGCGTGCCAGGAGGCTGAGGGCTGAACCTGCATGTGATTGAGGCAGTCGGCATGGCACCGGTGGCATTCATACATGATCTCAGCATGACCATGGCTGTGCTGCCATATTAGAAAGGAGGCCAGCCATCGGAGGCAGTTAGCTAGCAGGACGACCTGCTGTTGCTCTAAGGACTCAGGAAAATCCTGGGCACATACAGGGGTTAGACAAAGACGTGACACCACAGCAGACAGGTCTAGATGGGCTCCAGGACAGAGATCTGAGTAGTCACTTCTATTTGCTGGTCCTAGGCCGATCAAACGTGTGTTTCCTAAGCGTCATATGCAGAACAGCATTCACCATTCTACACAGGGGTACCTGAGCACCTTCCAGTAGTGCATCTAGCAACATGACTATGAGCGGTCCCATGTTCGTTCACCCAGCCTGTGCCTGGGGCAGGTGCATCATGGAGGGTCTTGTTTCAGTAGGGCTATTTTGATGTTCTATGTGTATGCTGGCGAAGGCAAGGTTAAGAAACATGGCTGGCACTGGAGCAGAAGGTGGGGAGGTTTGTGATGACTCTTAGCTCCTGGGGGAGTTCCAGGACCAGGCCCCAGACAGTTCTGCCTCCCGCACAGACGAGCTTCAGCCTTGTGGCAGAGAGTTCCACTGTGCCTGAGGAGCAGGGCTGTTGACCGTGACATCTTCATCCCACAATGTTAGTGGATACCCTGGGCATGGACCACTCGAAGATAAGGACTGAAACCGCAAATCGGATTCTTTTTCCTATGGGAAGCCAGTGCAGAGAGCAGGTCTGGTGTGAATCTGCCTCACTGAACCCGTACAAGATGCACTAATTCTTGCTGCTTGTGGGCGGCGTCAGGACATGCTGCTGACCCGCCATTGACATGTAGATGGGGGCAGCACCCGCGGGTCCCCAGTGGGCTCACCATGCTGGATGCTGCCCAAGCACACAGGGAGACACCCTCTCTGCCCAAAGAGCACCCCCCCCCATGACTGCAGCGAGCAGCCCCACTCTATCCTCTACAGGGCTGACCAACACGTACGTACGTGGTGGCAATGAGGAGCAGCAATGCAGATGCTTAATGAAGGGCTTCTCTCAATTCCAGAGGGAGGCAGGGAGAGCTGTTCCCACAATCCCCTGCCGTTCCCAGCAGCGTTTGAAATATTCATGGACGAGGTGGGGAAAAATGCATTAAGCCAACGCAATGCTGAGTCCCCAGAGCTCCCCTGGCTCTGATGGCTTCCATTCACCTTTTGCTCTTGGCCCCTGTGGCCTTTCAAGGCAAGCCTGTAGGCTGGCACCCTCCTTGTCAATAGCGGCACACGGCATTGCAGATTTTCACAGGGCAAAGTTGCAACACAGCCTCTTAATTTGTGCCCACAGATCATAGAGTCATCGAATCATAGAATATCAGGGTTGGAAGGGACCTCAGGAGGTCATCTAGTCCCACCCCCTGCTCAAAGCAGGACCAATCCCCATCTAACTCATCCCAGCCAGGGCTTTGTCAAGCCGGGCCTTAAAAACCTCTAAGGAAGGAGCTTCCACCACCTCCCTCGGTAACCCATGCCCATAACAAACCACACACGTAAAAGGCAGCACTCAGCTATCCACCTGGACGCCTGCCATCAGCAGCGGCGAAACACAATTATTTGTGCTTGCAAAATCAGGGCAGCTGCATTACAACAAAGCAAGATTCTGGAGTCCTAGTAGATTCTCAAACTGCCCCTCGATTCTCTAAATAAAGAGCTCACAGGAGTTCTCCTCTAACAAGCCCTGCTTCAAGCCACATATCACCTCACTCACCTGGAGCCGCTAGCCATGTATGTTAAACACAGGTGTGACCCCCAGGCCCCTCAGTGGCAAAGGGCACACCATAGCGTGACACATCAGGCCTGACCCACTCATTGCCCAGCACACTGTCGTCATCAACTGTACCTAAAAGGTGGCATGTAAAGTCTCATACACAGACTGGTGACACGCTGGTCTTGATAATCACTGCGCAATGTATGGACAGGCTGCGTACAAAGGGTTAGAGCTGGAGGCTGGGAATATGTTCAGAAAGCCCAACTCGCCCTAGACAAAAGGAAGGGGGATTTACTTGTCTGACCAGCTTGATCACAGAGAACAATGAAAGGTACATTCACATAGAAGGTAAACAAAGCGAGCAAGTGCGGGAGAGGACTGCTTAATGATCATGACGGGCTGGAGTCTGCACCCCAAGAAGCCGTCCTGGCTCTTGAAACAGAGACAATGGGGTAATAGGAGCCGGGGCAAAGGGACGTTCAAGTCATTCATCTCCTGAGGGAACAAAGAAACCAGTCCTTGGAGTCTGTGAGGGCTGGGTCCTGGCTGGAAAAGCCCGTCACACTGGAGAATGCTGACAACTTGGGGTAAGGAAGAAACAATGTTAGGCAAAGCTACATCTTACTGAATTCAGTTTTAGACCCTAGAAAGCGTGTTGTTCTGTTTTGTTTGTAACCCTTTCGTAGCCAGAAATCACTTCCTTCTAGGGTCTCTGTTAACACACGTATTCGTTTGATTACACGCCATCTCCAGGCTGAGCATGTAACTCCAGCTGAGCTACCAAGCTGGTGTGTGCATTGGCTCTTTGGAGGCAGCGAGCTTGGGATTAGCTCTGTGAGTGTGTGACAAAGCAGGGAGTTTTCTTGTTTCCAGTGGTTTGTACGCAGAGGGCGTGGGACTCCGTTTCCCTGGGTGTTACTGGTTTAACGAGGTGGTGGGAGAGGGCATTTGTTGTTACAGAGGGCCAGCAAACGGCCTGGAGAATGGATACCCCAGCGACTGGTGACCTGGTGACTGGGAGGCCCCACTTGGGAGTCACAGCTGGTTCTGGCCAGTGGGAGGACAATGGGCTGTGGAGGGAGGACCCCGGTGACCTGACCAGCCGGTTCCAGCCAGAGGGAAAACAAAGGGCGGATGAGAGGAGAGGCTAAGAGGAGAGGAGACCCAGGCAGCCTGTTTACCTGGGACAGAAGACAAAGGACAGAGGCAGGACTTGGGGGATGGTGATATCAGATGCCCAGCTGGGAGTCAGGGGTTCTGGGCTGGGAGCAGAGAGCAGCCAGAGTCCCCCTGGAGGCTGGAGAGACCTAGATGTGCTGTGCTGAGGGAGGCCAGGCCTGAAGGCCCGGAGAGTTTCCTGTGCTGGGCTCAGATGCTCAATAAACCCTCCTGTTTTACACTGGCTGAGAGTCACTCCAGTCTCAGGATGGGGGTTGCATTATTCCCTCTGGGTGTGGTGGCCCGGGGGGCCCATGGCGAGAGACAGGTGTGCTGAAGGCTCAGAGAGGTGGGGCTCCAGGAGGTGGAGGGGCCTACGGCTTAACCCCTGAGAGAGAGTGGACCCCCGAGAAGGTCTGTCGCACTGAAGGGGGTTCCTCCCAGGGACCGTACGGAGCCGAGAGAGAGCACAAGTCCTGTGAGTCTGTGACAGAATGTCCAGTCAGAGGGACGGGCCACTGCAGGGGAGTCAGTTTGGGGGGCACTTGGGACTGGAGGGGCTGTTGGGGTCACCCTGCAAAGAGCACCCAGGCTGGTGGAAGCCAAGGTGACACCATTGTGCTGTGAGCATGCTGCTGGTGGTGGGGCTCTGAGCCAAAGCTTCCCAGTGCAGATACCCAGGGCTCCAGGGCAGGTGGTGACGCAGCCCCTCACTGGGCTGGGTGAACCCCCAAAGCCTCACAACCAGCCATCAGGATTATTCGTTCCATAGCAAACGCTTTACGCGCTCTCTGCATTAGATGAGGTCCCAAAAGCTGTTGCTGTATCAGTTCTACAGACAGTTCTGCTGTATCAACATCCCCATCTGCTAACGTGCCACGGGTTTGCCATGGAGCGACTGCTCTGTCAAATAACCTACTATCTGAAGCAGTGAGTTCATGGCTGCCTGGAACACACCACGCTCTGGGAGATTTCCTGCTCAGTTAACGGGCTCGTCTCACAAGGGTCTCAGACCAGAAAGGATCACTAGATTATTTTGCCAGCTGGAGCAGTTGTCACACTGCTGGCACATCCCTTCCTCAGTCTCCCCACACTTTTGTTTTCACAAATGGTGAATGGGCGGGTTATGCTTGTGCACTGAGAAGAGAGTACACTGTAGCAAACAGCTACCCCTACACTGCATGTGACCACGTCACAATGACAGAGGGCACAGAACTCACTGCTTGCCAGCCATCTCAGCTAACGGAGAATCACCACTAGCTGTTGGCAGTGGAGGGCCTATGTCACACAGCTGTTGTTCCGATTGCATCCAGTAGAAGGCAGCGGTGTACTCTCACACGTGTCAGGCCATTGCAGTACTCTGAGCATGTGGCCAGTCTGCTGTAGTTTAATTCTAACAGTGGGATGGGAAGGGTTCGGCATGCTGGTGCTCTTTGCTTATTGGGGGCCCATTCCCCTCATGTAAATGGGGGGGTCAGCAATAAGGCTGGGGGGGGCTGGGTTCCGAGCTGCACCTTCCTGCGGGCTAGTCCATGCAATGCTGACTCTTCACCTGTAGGCGAGGAACACTTAGTGGGGCTGGGGGAAGGGTACGTGTGTGTGTCTCTCTTTCTCCTCTCACCTGCTTCTTCTTCCCCTCGGACGACAGGACTTTGGTGACCCCGATCCGGTGCAGCATAACATGGACGCGCTGCTCAAAGGAGCTGGGGATCTCCCCGTCACTCTTCTCAAAGTGCCGCCTCTGAAGGGCAAACAGGACAAACCCGGGGGCATGCTCAGGTGGCTCTTTACAGTCACCAGGGCCCCCACCCCCGTCGTGCTGGGCAGCCAGAGGCTGTGCTGCCTGGGGTGGCACCGTGGCTTTCAGCCGCCTTTGAGCCCTCCCAGGTATGGGCTGCAGAACGGCAGAGCCGTGGGGCCCTGGCTATGCAATGGTATCTTGGCAGGCTGTCCTGCGAGTGGCAGCACTGCCGGGGTTCCCCATGGTGCTGCATGCTGCGGCTCTGCCCCATATGCCATGTCCGCCCCCGACCGCTGCATGGCCTTGTGCCTTGCCCCCTAACCCCCACTGCAGCCTTCTGCAAGGCCTGCTCCAGGGCTCCTCCCCCAGCCAGAACCAGGCCCCTTTATCACACTCAGCCCCTTCCACCTGGGTACAAGGGTCAACGGGAGGGGAACGTACCCCAGGGGGTGAAGCAAGATCTATCCCTCCCCTCACGTTGCCCAGGCTGAGGGCAGGTTTGCCAAGAGACACGCCTACCCCATGGCAGTAACTAATGGCACCAGGCGAGTCTGGCTCAGGACACGGTGTTTGTACATCACTGCTGTGCTACAGCCCCCCCTTGGACAGGGTGACCAGACAGCAAGTGTGAAAAATCAGGACAGGGGGTGGGGGGTAACTGGCGCCTATAAGACAAAGCCCCAAACATCGGGACTGTCCCTATAAACCGGGACATCTGGTCACCCTACCCTTGGCGCTCCCTCTGGCGCGTTTGCCTAAGATCAGTTCCCCCACCCAGCTGTATCACAGCAGCTAGTCCCAGTCCTTGGATGCTTCGGGCTCTTTCTGATCCTCTGTCGCTGGGGATTCCCCCAATCATCCCCCAGGCAGGAACAACCAGGGACATGCGCAGGAGCAGGGAGGGGCCCAACAACAACAGACCCCACAGTGCTGGATTGGTTGGGGCCATCTGTGCCCCCAAAGTCCCCTGCCGCTTCCCCAGGAATGGAGCAGGGAGTCAGCCCCACGTCTACACCCGAGCCCATCTGCAGTGCAGACACCAGCCAGGACTGGCTAGGTCAGGCCAGGACTTGGGGCCTGATCCAAACTAGCCTGGGGTCAATGGGAGTCGTCCCACGGATCCCTGCGAACCCTGGATCACTCTTAGGGTGCCCCTGCTTGGAGACACCAGGCTGGGGGGCCAGGCAGTCTGAGAGCTAGAGAACCGGCCTCCATGAACAGTCCCCTTTATATTCGCTGCAGCCCAGGCCGGTCTCCTCTCTGCCAGGGGGGTACAAACCTCACACATCACAGAGCTTCCAGATTCCCGCTCTCTGCTGCGCTGTTACTGTAGCAAAGCACCTGCTACAGCCGGGATGACCCGGGCCCCTACACTCAGGACACCCCTGAACTGGGGCAAGTGCCAGGAGCACAGGCTCCCGGGGCTAGGAGGGGGCAGTGGGGAAAGAGGGCTGTTACCTTTTCATGTTTCACTCCTAAGGCCTCTTCGTCCTCGCCAGACAGGAGTATGAGTGACTGTGACTTGCCCTCTCGGGAGTACTTGGGCCTGACCCTGTGGGCGGCATCGGGGGTCTGGCTGGGCTCTGCATTGGCCCTGGGCTCCACGGCAAGCCCACCCTCTTCGGATTTGCTCAGCGCCTTCCCAGGCTCCCCTGCCTTACTGGGAGGCTTTGAAATGTCACTGCGCGTGGACTTCCTGCCGTCCGGCTCCTTCTCGCACTTCCAGCCCCTGCTGGACTTCGGCTTCTTCAACGCAAAGAAGTTCCCTATTTTCTTTTTGAAAGTCCGGGTGCCAGACGGCGCGAGGGGGGCTGAGCCAGGAGAGATCCCCCGGGGGGCTGGGCTGGAGCAAGAAGAGGAAGCCAGGAAAAGAGTTAGCACAGGTGCTGATCGGAGACATGAACTGAGAGCAGGTACCAGAACCACTGTGCCCCCAATGCCAAGAACTGCGCCAGGCACCTCTCTGCTGCCAGCCTGCAGCCTGGGGAGTCAGCCCCCAGGGAAGGGGCAGGAGAGGAACGGCTCCACGGCAGAGGGGACTCACCATCCTCTTGGAAAGGCACTTGGCTCGGTGGTCTCTTGGCTGTTTCCTTATCTTTGAATTCCCCCTGACTGCTGGGATTAGAAAAATCAGTGGGGGAGGCATGGTGGAGCGCAGCCTCGCCCCAGTCCTCGCCCTCGCAGGGTGCCCGGCAGGCAGCAGGATGGGAGGCTCTGGGAAGGGACTGGGAGATGGGGGTTGGCATGGCAGGATCCCCACCTGGGAGATTCATTGCAGACACACGTGGCTGCACATTTCACTGTCTCCCCTCCGGGAGCTTCGGCCGCAGAGGTGCAGCCGCCTCTCACTCTGGACTGTAGCTAGCCAGGCCGGGGTCCTGCGCTCAGCTCCTGTGCTAACCCTGCCCCAGCCCGTCCCGAGCAGCCGGCCCTCAGCCGCTCCCCGGGGCCCCACCGCGCCACAGTCTCACGCTAATCAGCCAGGATTTCTGCCCAAGCAATTCAGTAACTGCGGTAAATGAAGAAGTTTCATCCACAGTAGGTCAGGCGGCTTCGAGAGGCGTGGCTAGTCCCAGAACTACCCTGGCTGCTGCTTCCCAGGCCCGGCAATCCTGACACCACCGTTCCCTCCCCCGGCCTCCCGCGAGGGCAGCGGCTCACCTACACCACAGGTGCTGCCAGGTTACAGGACAGCTTTCAATCAAGGCAGGGGCAGAGGGAAGTGGAGAACCAGGAGCTGTAACTGACCGTAGCAGCCCTGGGTGGAGATCCAGGCTGCACCAGTGACAGCCCCAGCGTCCTGGCTCAACCTGCCCTGGGACGCACGCTCAGCGGTATCCTCCTCTCCTGGCCGGGAGCACGGAGGGGACTTCCCAAGGCCTCCCACTTGGGCAGGCGTGATGGCAATTTTCCTCCATGGCTGACATGGTCCAAGAGTGTAGAGATGGCCACGCCCCCTAGAGGCCATCAGTAAAGAAGAGTGTGTCTAGGCGGCACGTGGAGGTAGCCCGGGGTGGTCGCACCATGCCAACTTTACTCCAGCTGGTAGCAGACACAGGACTGGAAAGCTGGCTCTTCCACGTCTTTACATCCCCTCGGGCGCAAGGACTGACAGCTGGTTCTGTAAGAACACCACCAGCTTCCCCCCGGGCACCGCCGCTTTCAGTGCCGCTGTTTGTGATGAGTGCCCGTATCCCAGAAGACATCCTCCTCTCCTTCCTCAGCACAGTCTGCTAGGTACAGCCCCGGCCCTTTAAAATTCCCTCTTCCCTGCAGTAACACTGAGCTCCTGGTGGACAGGTGCTCTCTGCCCCCAGGATGGGGACAGGACAACAGCTGGCTGTGTATGAAAACCTAACTACTGCTACTTACAAGGGCTGGTAAAGCCCCTGGGCAGCCAGGCTGCGTGCGGCTCTCCTTATTACGAATGGGGCGTGCATTTCAGAGCCGGGCTCTGCCAAGTTCAGGGGATGTCTCGATCAGGGAGCACCTCCGGCTCCCGGTGCGGCAGGCGTGCAAGCAGGATGCACGAGTGGGGGGGGGGGGCAGAGCTCAACACTAGTTTCATCAACAGGGATCACTACGGCTAGCTGGATGGAAAGCCCAGGTGATAAGCTGCAGGGAAATACAAATCAACACAACGGCAGGGAAGAGAGTCCTGCTCAGCAGCAGGCTGCTTGTGGGAGGGGGTAACAGCAAGGGCCAATGAGGAAAAAAGAGACTGGCGAAGGATAAGAAAGGAGAGCAAAGGAAAGAGAATCGGGCTCAATTTTGACTCCTCCTATGTGGGGGGGAGGAAGGGGGGGCAGAGTTTTGTTTGCGAACACACCTGAGCTAAGCCCTGCACAGGCCATGCTGCGGGTTTCGAAGGTGTGCCCCTAGCGATGCTCAGTGCTTCCTGCCTTCTCAGCCCCAGAGAACAAACCCTCCCAGAGCCTGGCAGCCCCACTGTGGAGGTGGAAACGGATGCCGGGAGTGAGCTGCCCGAGGACACACAGTGAGTCTGGGAGGACAACCCAGACGTTTTGGGCTTCCAGGTCCCAACTGACTGCATTCGCTCACTCTGCCCTTGTACACTGATTTCCTCCCAACGGGCCATGGGCTTGGAAGAGCTAGTTTCAAATCCCAGCGCCCAGCCTGGTGAATCAGCCGACCTCGCCTCACTTCTCAAAGGCTGCATTCTGGCTGGGACCCCAAAGGGAGATGCCGACTAGCTGCAGAGCCCACTACACTCATTGTTAAGTCTAATGGTGTGAACCCCAGTGTCCTGGGCTCATCCCAGTTCAGGGAATTGCATTCTGACATCCTAAATGCCCCCTTGCACTTTCAGTTGGACTTGGTGGGCCCGGTCCTCAGCTGGTATCAGGTGGTAGAACGCCACTGAAATCAGACCAGCTAAAGATCTGAACCAGATTCTTACTCAGTCCCTGACCAAAACTGCTGTGTTCCGTTGCTGTGTGCTGTTAAACAGTTGCTGTGTTGCACCCAAGACATGAGTGCATTTCTGCAGTGGGTGACATGATCCCTATAACATCCTGCACCCGACACAGGTGTTGTGAAAATTTGCTAATATGTCCATTCAGAGTCCTAGAGGAACGGTGTTTAAAAGCATTAATGACTATTAATTAGTAGTGACCTGAATTTCAAACCATGCAAGGTAATGTTACCCCAAGAAATGACTGAGGACGATTCCCCAGTTTATGCATCACTAGCTTGTAAGCCAGGCACCTCTTGATGCTAACTGGCACGTGGCCTAAAGGTTACAGGAATCCCCTGGGCTTGGTATGCACATTCTAGTTCACAGAATGCCACGTGAGGGCTCTGAAAGCCAGGGTCACACTAGTCATCGATACTGCTGTGAAATGCACGTACAGCTGTCGTGTAAGGAGTTGTGTATAGACACTGACAATTCCATTCTTACAGCCTGCATCTAGGGACTGGTCACTGGCAAAGGTGAAAAGCAGGTTTGTTGTCAGACAAGAGCTGTTTGTCCATCTATCTGTTTACATGTAAATTGAGCATTGTCTGGTTCACAAGGAGCAGCCACTGGCATTCTAAGCTAATAAAGAGCAGAGGGGACTTTATAAGGAAAGTAGCAGGAAGAGATAGACAGTGGGGCAGGATGGGGGAGAGGAACCCTGTATTGATGTAAATATCAAAGGCTTGTTTTGGCCTATTTTGGGGGGGCAAAGAGGACACCCTGGAAGGGGATCCTTCACCGAGGAAGTGAACGGGCAGGAAGTTTGCTTCATGAAAAGGGATCCCAGCCAGGCTTGGTTGAAAACACTGGAGAAATCTTTGGGTGAGACAAGCTTCTTTAGACAGGAGGAGAACTTGTGAGCTAAGTTTGGTCTCTAGAAAGTGTGTTATTGATTTTATTTGTAACCGTTTCCAAACCGTTTCTTATTCACACTCACTTGAATCTCTTTGATAATAAACTGATTCTTGTTTTCACTATAACTAGATCAAAGAGCTGTGTGTTTAGCTAAGGAGGTCCCTCGTCCAGTTTTGGCCTGGACAGACCTCTGTTGGGGTTGTTTTTCCCCCGTCTGGTACTGGGACAAACCAGATGTGGCTTTGTCTGGTAGCAGACGGAGGATGCCCTTTATAAGAGCACACCGCTTCGCCCCCTCCGTGACCCCAATTCTCCAGTGTTCTGGGAACATAGGAGTGGCCACCTTATGTTTAGCAGAGCTGTGTTCTAAGGTGTAACTATTGGAACAGCAGGTGATTCTGTGTGTGGTCAGTGGATCAGGGACTGGAGGACTGGAGGCTGAGGCCTCGTGGGTTGGTACGTGTGTATCACAGCCTGTACACAGACAGCAAGGCCCGCGGACGCCCAGAAGGCAGGGCTGGTGTTGCCAGAGAGCTGACCCCCAGCGGGCACAGCACAGTGGGAAGCGGCACAGTAGCAGCGACAGTTCTGAATACACCTCGTTTACTTACGGCGGTTCCTCTTGGATCAGCTTCTTGGTAAAGAACTCCTCTAGCCCTTCATCCACGCAAGTAATGCTTCTGTCCTCGTCATTCTCAGACGGGGCGGGCTGGACCTACGAGCAAGCGCCACAGTCAGAAGAGCGCAGTGCTGCAGAAGCAGGGAAAAGAGGAGGCGAGAGGCGGGGGAAAGCTGAATTCAGGGGGAGCGATCCCAGGAGAAAGTGACAAATCACTCCCGGACGTTCCTACTGATGCAGCTGCTTTTTAATTGCACACGCACATACACCTGTGTATACATTTGCTGTTGAATAATAATAAAATAGCAGTAACAGCAACACCCCCTAGCTCTTACCTAGCCCTCGTCATCAGCAGATCTCAAAGCTCTTTATAAAGGAGGGCAACATTATCCCTGTTTCACAGAGGGGGAAACTGAGGTCCAGAGACTTGCCCAAGGTCTCTCAGCAGGCCAGTGGCAGAGCCGGGAATATAACCCTGGTCTCCTGAATCCCAGGACAGCGCTCTATCCACTAGCACACTGGTTCTCAGCCAGGGCTGTGTGTACTGCTGGGGGGTACATCAGCTCATCTAGAGATTTGCCTAGTTTGTCAACAGGCGATATAAAAAGCAC